TTTGATGAGTTTAGCTACATTATTCATAGGAGATGTTTCAAATTTCGTATTTAGAGTTCGTAATAGGTACTACAGCCTGTGACAGACAATTGTCTTTGCAGGTTCAGGTCTTCGTATAGCCCCCATATAATGACACCTTCCTATATTCAGTATTTTTATTATTTTAGCTATATTTTTCAATGAAATTGTCTGCAAATTTCGCATTTCGCAATTGTCTATGCAGGTCCAGGTCTTCGTATAGCTTCCATGTATCGGTACCTTCTTTTTTGCGGTATTTTTGATAATTTTAGCTACATTATTCACCGGATTTTATTTCAAGTTTCGTATTTGAATATTGTAAAGGCCTATGACAATAGTTGCCTATGCAGGTCCACGTCTTCACATAGACATCAATATAACGGCTATTCGGTATTTTTAAGATTTTAACAAAATTTTTAACTGATTTCATTTCTTATGTAAAATTTCCAAATTCGTTCCAAATGGTGAAGGCTATTCAAAGTTCGTCCCGGCCGATTTTACTGCTTTTTTTTCCTTTTTTGTTTTTTTTTTATCGCTTGTCACTGTCAACCCCTCCTGCTGCAATTTCAGCACCTAATCGTTAGTTTTGTTCCCACACATCGTTTCGGATTAACTATCGCTACTATTCTATTAGAATAACGTGTTTCGATAAATCTTTTTTTATGATCAACATAAAATGCAGCTCTGAGCACGTTCAATTTGCTGCCGTATCTCACAGCCACTACAGAATTTGTTATTTTCAATTAGTGCACATCTTTTTCTTTTTTTTTTCTTAAAGAGTTAATTTATGATATCTAATTACGAACAACGGGCATATTCTAATTTGCAATATAGAAATGCTTAATCAGCTGAATTCCGCCAGCTGAGATTAAAAATGGAATAGATATTTTTTTTTATCATTGGAGAAAGAATAATCAGCAGATCTTGAGACTTTGGGGGACGGCTGGTTTATGATGTGTGTGCCGTGATATTTGTGAATAAGAGCTTAGATTGGAGGAACATTTGATAATGGTATGGCCACTATGGAACATAACCTACTCTTTAACAAGTCATCAAATCCCAGAAGCCACCCCCTATCTACATCGATGCTATAGAGTACAGATTATGACTTTGAGAAGTCTTAAATGTCAAAGCGGATAAATATATGAATTGTTTTAGTTCAAGATTAGGTTTCAGGATGCACAGGTAGACTAAAGTCGGAAGCTGTTTTACTCGAAGACCTTTGGTCCACTGTGTTCATCGTAAGAGGATATAACTATGATAGGCAATATTTTGGGAAGGAAACAAGAAGGATTCAACCGATATATCCCATCTTCACAGCAGATCTTGTGTTAGTAGAAATAATGGATGCTTAATTCGGATTTTATGATCGTTTTGGTTATTCAAAACATTGACCATTTGTGGGGGAGATACCAGAAGAAATGATCCGATCTCTACCATCTTTCTAACAGATCTTGTGTTGATGGAAATATTGAGATGTACCAAGTATGGATGGAATCGGAAGTTAATTTCGCATTTTAAGAATTTCATGGATATTCAAAATTTCGACCCTTTGTGGGGGAGGTACTTGATGAAGTGGATCGATATTGTCCTTTTTCGCACCTGACGTAGCACTGATGCAAATATTAGGATTTGCAAAGTTGGAGAAAAATCAAAATATCCTTTCTCTTTAATTGAAGTAAATTATTACACCCTCAGCCATATGGTTAGAGAGGGTATACAGGGTGAGATAAAAAAACTGCAACAAAGTCAAAGGCCATAATTTTTACATTTTTTTAAATGTTATTGAATGAAAGCGAAAATGTCGGAAAAAGCATCAAATTTTAGAATAAGTTTAGATTTGTTCGAATTGGCCACCTTTGGCACGAATTACGGCCTTCAAACGGCCAATGAAATTGTCACACGCTGCCTGAATGTTGCTCTGCGGTATTTTGGCCCATTCCCGGCGAAGCGCTTGCTAGAGGTGATCGACACTTTGGTATTTTTTAGTGCCAACCTTGCTTTTCCAAAATACTCCAGACACAAAAGTCCAAAGAATTGGTATCCGGAAATTTTGGTGGCCATTGAGCGCTGAAAATGAACCATTCTTGGGTGGCGCGTGCAATGGTGCTGAGTCCTGTTGGAATGTCCAAGGTCTGCGGCCAAAATGTTTGCGTGCCCAAGACTTCAAAATACACGCTCCAGAATATTTTCGCGATAATATTCGGCATGAATTCTGATGCCACGGTCGATAAATACGGGCGGAGGGTGACCATCGGCTGTTATGGCGGCCCACACTATTACACTCAAACCATGGCCGGCGCTTGAGTTCTGGTGGCCAGCCGAAGGTGCACATTTTCAGTTGACCCCTTTGGCAGGTAAACACGATCATTTTGTTTGTTTACAAACTTCTGGACAACGAATGTTCTCTCATCGGAGAGAACCAAATTCGGCAGTGCACCACTTTCGGCGAAGCAACTCTTTAGCTATTTTAAGTCATTTTCTTTCTGTTGCGGTGTTAGTTCTTGCACTTTTTGAAATTTCAATGGCTTTAGCACGAGCTCATTTTTCAATATTTGCCGAATGAAATATTGCGATATGTTCAGCTCAAGAGCCACTTTTTCGGCCACTGAGACGCCGGTTTCGATCAAGTCGCTTTTTTACTTTTCGAACCATTTCTGCTGATGTTGTTGTTTGCTTCCGTCCACTTCCTTGACGTCGAGCTACTGGCTGCGCTGCCAGTATCACGTAATCGGTAACGAGCGATGGTACGAGACACAAGATATTTATTCACATTTAAATGCTGGAGTGCTCTAACGATAGCCACTTGTGGTTTTCCAGGGTCAAAATTTTGAATATCTAACATCGGACCATTTCTTCTGGTACCTCCTCCGCAAAGGGTTAAAGGTTTGAATAATCAAAACTTTTTATAAAATTCGAAATAAGCATTCGGTCCTCTATATATTGCACATATCCCATTATTTCTACTAACACAAGGTCTGCTGTGAAGATTGGATATATCGGACCACACCTTCTGGTACCTTCAAAATTTTGAATATCCATGAAGCTCATAAAACGTGAAATTAACATTCGATTCGACGATTCGAACATTCTAGACTTGACACATGTCAATATTTCAATCAACACAAGATCTGCTATAAAGATTGTAGAAATCGGACCACTTCTTCTGGTACCTCCCCCACAATGGTTGAAAGGTTTGAATAATCAAAACGTTTATAAAATTCGAAATAAGCATCCGGTTCTCTTAATATTTCACACATGCTATTATTTTTAGTAACACAAGATCTGCTGTGAAGATGAAATATATCGGTCCACACCTTCTGGTACCTCCCCCACAAAGGGTCCAAATTGTGAATATCCATGAAGCTCATAAACGCGAAATTAACATCCGATTCCATTCATATCTCAATATTTCCATCAACACAAGATCTGTTATAAATATGGTAGAGATCAGACCTTTCCTTCTAGTATCTCCCCCACAAAGGGTCAATGTTTTGAATAACCAAAACGTTTATAAAATCCGAAAGAAACATCGGGGTTTCTTAATATTTCACACATGTCACTATTTCTACTAACACAAAATCTGCTATGAATATAAGATAAATCAGTCCACACCTTCTAGTACCTCCCCGACAAAGGGTCAACATTTTGAATATCCACGAATCTCCTAAAACGCGAAATTAACATCCGATGCCATTCAAATTTAGCACAGCTCAATATTTCTATCAACACAAGATCTGTTACATAGATGGTAGAGATCGGATCACTTTTTCTGGTACCTCCCCCACAAAGGGTTCAACATTTTGAAATACCTAACGCTAAGTAAGCATCAAACTCTCTTCAAATTTCACATATTCAAATATTATCGAACCCAGACTGGGGCTATACATCTGTTACCTCGCATCCTTTAACCTAAAACCTACTCAAATGATAGTTGCATTGAGGTTAGGTCGAAAGAGCTCCATTTAGCCTGTCACACATTTTTGCAAAAATTTATAATTTTTTTCGAGAATCTCTTAAATCGAAAAATAAAAAAAAAACTAGAATGTCATAGTTCCATGGACTTATGCGTGATTTATTATTTATGCCCAACCAAGAGTATTCAAAACATATTCTTCAACTTTTTTTTCATCCCCCCCCCCCACTTGCATTGACGTTTATTTTTCTTGGGAAGGGTAGAGGGTTAAGAAGGGGAATGGGGCTTTGCTGCGTATTGCAAATACGTATCTCTTTTGTTCCAAACTTTATTCTATTTTAGATTTTCCCCCGCCATATAAGCGGCGTTAAGCTGCTGCTGCTGCAGTTTTTGTGGTTGTTGTTGTTGCTGCTGTAATTCAAAAGAATTCAAAAGCAACGCGTGACTCTCATTGTGAATGCAATTCTCTACTTCGACTACTACCCTTTCCATATGACAGCCAACCCATAAATACGGAACTGAGTGGCTATATGGATAAGAGGATGAAGAGGAAGATGATAAGGGAGGTGGTGTATGGGTATGTGAATGGTTTTGTTGTCGTCCCTCCACATTGTTTCAGGTCCATCTTTTCGTTCGTTTCTTTTTCTAAATGGGCCGTAATGATGAGTTAAGAGGGAGGGAGTGTAGGTTGAGGGGGGCTGCCAACGGAAAGAGAGGAACTACTGGAAATTGTGTAAAGGAAGTGTCTTTTGAATAGTTTCTTTTTTTTTCAATTTCATTTCTCACACGGCTCTCGTTGACAAGTCTTTGGGAAAAGTGTAAAACCCACAGCCATGGGTGTAATAGATTTTTATTTGAGTGAGTGAGGAAGGGAGGAGAGGAGGGTAGGTTAGTAAATAACATTTAGATGTACTACCCCACACACACACACATGTTAACTGTATCCTCCTTTCCTCTCTCTCTCTCTCTCCCTATTTCACCTCCTTTACTTTATTTCTATTCATGTTGTTGATGCTTTTAGTAATGAGTTTTCCCCATTTCTTCCATTTCCCCATTCTCCTTCCAGCGATTCGGCAAAAAATCTAGGTTTCACTGTCATCATTGATATGCGCGGCAATGGCAATTGTTCAACGAATGTCAAGGCCATATTGAAAGTGTTGCAGGAGCATTTCAGTGCCAACATCCACAATGTTGTCATCATAAAACCCGATAATTTTTGGCAAAAACAACGTGCCTCGATTTCATCACACAAATACAAGTTCGAAACGTCGACCATATCGATTGAGGCCCTCAACAAGATAGCGGAGCCCAGCCAGTTGACCAGTGATTTTGATGGCAATCAAATGTATGACCATCAACAGTGGACCGATGCCCGTTTGGCCATTGAGGATTTCTTTTGGCAGGCCAGTGATTTGGCCGATCGCATCGACGATCTGCAGGAGGATTTGCAGCGCAATGATTTTGCCGAGGATGTAAATGGGGCCCGGCATGCCTTGGATCATCACAATGAGATGAAAAAGAAAATCCTTAAGCTGCCCATTGAGGATCTGGATGTGCAGGGTAAAAAGCTGTTGGCCAAAATCAATATGACTGGGGGCGGCAGTGGTGGGGCGGTAAGTTGGAAGCTATATTTTTTAAAAACTATTCCCTTCAAAACTAATCTCTCTTTTTTCTTCCAGGTTGCCGCCGGAGCCGAGTGCGTGGGCAGTGGCAACGATTCGGGCACCTCATCCCAGTCACAAAATGCCTCACAACAATTTCGCATGGCCACCAACAATCCCGACATGTCGGCCGCCATCAGCAAAGCTTTAAGACAAATTGACCTCATCCATTCGGGCCAGCAGCGCTTGCTCACCTTGTGGCAGCACAAAAAAGTCAAACTCGATCAATGTTTCCAATGGCGCCTTTTCGAACAGGACTGTGAGAAAATGTTCGATTGGATCCTACACAATCGGGATGTCTTTCAAATGTCCTATGTGGAAATAGGTCATAACTATTCGGTGGCCAAGTCGCTGCAAGATGAACATCAAAAATTTGCCGTGGCCTCCATGAATGTCTCGGTGAACATAGATCGCATTTTGGCAGTGGCCTCCCGCCTCATTGAAAGTCAACATTATGCCGCTCAAAATATCAAGACTTTGGCCACCCGGCTGGATCGTACATGGAAAGATTTTGCCGCCGGCTTAGATGAGAGAACAGCAGTACTGCAATTAAGTGTACTCTTTCATCACAAGGCCGAACAGTATTGTAACAGTGTGGCCTCTTGGGCGGCGGCCTGTCAGGCCTCCCAGCCCCTACCCTCAGATATACAAAGCCTGGAGACGGCCATACGCACCCATCAGTCTCTGTACGAGGCCATGTGCCAGGCCTATACCGAGGTACATTCAACCAGCAAAAAATTACTTTATCAACTGGATCATTTGGTCCAGGTATGCAATCAGCCACCACCACCCGGTGTGCCAGATCATCGCAAGAACAGCAGCTACAACAAATATGGCCGGCAAAATCCCGCTGCCGACTACAGTGAGGGAGCCTCCCATGTCCTCGCCGTCATACATCAAATCCTGGGTCATCATCGTTCGCTGGAATCGAAATGGCACCAGGAAAAGATACGCCTCCACCAAACACTGGCTCTGCGACTATTCCAAGAGGATGTCAAACAGGTCTTGGACTGGTTAAAGAATCACGGTGAGGTGTTTGTACGCAAAAATACCGGCATTGGCCGTAACTTGCAAAAGGCCCGAGTCTATCAAAAGTCTCACGAACATTTCGAAAATGTTGCCCAGAATACCTACAGCAATGCGGAGAAGTTATTGGCTGCGGCCGATGAATTGGCACGCAGTGGTGAGGCCGATCCCAATGAGATATACTCGGTTGCTCATGAGCTGGAAATACAGGTGGCCAGCTTTGCTGAACGGGTTGAACAAAGACGGCGACGCCTTGACATGGCTGTAATTTTTTACACCCATGAAAAGGAGGTCACCGCCTGGATAGATCAGCTAAGAGCCGATGTTTCCAGCGATGAGACCATGTTATCTCAGGAGAATCTGGAGGGCATAGAAAGACTTTTGCAACAGTATCGGGAGCAGCAGGATAACACACTGAAGGGTTGTATGCAAACCATTGCCCAGGGTGAGGCATTGTTGCAGGAAATGCGTTCGTTGGAATATGCCGACAACACGGGGTCAGTGTCGGCCCTGGAGGCGGCTTTGGAAAAGTTGTCCAAACAAAAAGTGGAGTTGGAGGAACTGTGGTCAGCCCGCAAGTTCAGGGCAGATTTAATTTTACGTTTGCGTTACTTTGAACGGGATGCCATGGAGTTATCCTCGCAATTGGAAATCTGGTCGGAGGAACTGCAACATGCCGATTTATCCCGAGATTATCAAAAGGCCGAACAGCTAATACGCATGCACAACGAATCTGTAAGTGATATACAAAATGCCACCTATGAGGTGTTGGAACAAGGCCAGGAACTACTGCAAATGTTTGAATCGGCCGGGTTTATTTCAATGGCAGATGCAACCCACACAGCTCAGGCACGCATAGAATATCTCTTGAATTTCTTGCGAGAAAGAGAAATTGATTTGGAAGAACTTTCCGAGGCCAAGCGAGCCAAATTGGAACAGGCAGTCCAGTTGTGTCAGTTTCAGAACGATGCCAATCAAGTTATTTCCTGGATACGCAATGGTGAGGCCATGTTGGTGGCCAGTTTCGTGACACCCAACAGCCTACAGGAGGCCGAACAGCTGCGCAAAGAACACGAACAATTTCAGGTGGCCATTGAAAAGACCCATACCTCAGCGGTACAGGTGAAATATCGGGCCGATGCTCTCATCAATGCCAATCACTACGATCCACAGTCGATAAGGGAAATATCCGATGATGTTACCAAGAAATGGCAACAATTGGTTACCTATGCCGAGGAGCGTCATAAACTGGTGACGGCTTCAATCAATTTCTACAAAACCGCCGAGCAGGTTTGTTCGGTACTCGACTCCTTGGAGCGAGAGTATCGTCGTGAAGATGACTGGTGCGGTGGCGGTGGCTCAAGTGATAAATCCCAAACCATTGTCCAGCTTATCTCGAAACATCAGGAACAAAAAGAAGCCTTCTTGAAGGCCTGCACGTTGGCACGTCGTACCGCCGAAACTTTCCTCAAATATGCCAATCGCTCACAGCAATACTATGAATATCAATCGCAGGGAAATTGTGAAAATCGTGTCAAAACCATTCTGGATAAATTGCTAACGCAGGAGAATCAAGTGCTGGAATTCTGGACACAACGGAAGAAATCGCTGGATCAATGTCAACAGTTTGTGTTGTTTGAGCGCAGTGCTAAACAGGCCATTGAATGGATCCACAATACGGGAGAGGCTTATCTCTCGTCCCGCACCAATTTGGTGGGTAAAACTCGCGAAGAAACCGAAGGATTGCTCAAAGAGCACAATGAATTCCGTGGCACAGCCAAAGAGACAAGAGAACGGGTTAAACTATTGATCCAGCTGGCGGATAGTTTGGTGGAGAAGGGTCATGCCCATGCCAGTTCGATTAAGCAATGGGTGGCGTCGGTGGATCAAAGGTGAGAAAAAACCAAATGACAGAAGAGAACTTTAATTATAGGGGGTGATTGTTGGTTCGTTAAGATGGAAGAACTTCAAAAGGATCGCAAATTGTGTTCTACGCCAGAATACCTTTAGAGAGTCATCTATGGATGAGAACCTTTAGAAAGTCTTCAATAAATGGAAAGTCTGTAAAGGTCTTCCAAGGTCTCCTAAAAAGAGAACACCTTTAAGCAGATGACCTTTCAAGGTCTTTTATAGATAGGGGACTTACAAAAGGTCTTTTAGAGATAGAGGACCCTTAAAAGTTCTTCTAGAGAAAGAGGATCCTTTAAAGTTCTTCTGTAAATAAGAGACCTTAAAAGGTCCTTCTATAGATAGATAATCTTACAATGTTCTTCTGTAAATGGAGGACCCTCAAATGGTCTTTTATAAATAAAATACCTTCATGAGATCTTCTATAAATGGAGGACCTAGAGGAGGAAAAGTTTTTCAGTAAATAGAAGGCCTTTTGATGGTCTTTTTTTAATAGAGGAACTTCAAAAAGTCTTTTATAGACTTCTGTAAACAAAAGGCCTTCAGAAAGCCTTCTATCGATAGAGGGCCTTTAAAAAGCCTTCTATAGATGAAGGAGCTTCAAAATGTCTTCTATACATAGCGGACCTTCAAAAGGTCTTTTATAGATAGAGGACCTTCTAAATGTCTTCTATAGTTAGAGGACCTACAAAAGGTCTTTTATAGACTTCTGTAAACAAAAGACCTTTAGAAAGTCTTCTATAGATAGAGGGCATTTTAAAAGCCCTCTAGAGATAAAGGAGCTACAAAAAGTCTTCTATAGATAGCGGACCTTCAAAGGTCTTTTATAGATAGAGGACCTTTTAAATGTCTTCTATAGTTAGAGGACCTTAAAAAAGTCTTCTATTGTTAGAGGATTTTCAAAAGGTCTTCCATGGGTAAAGGATCTTCAAAAGGTCTTCTATAGATAGAGGACCTTCAAAAGGTCTTTCAATAGACTTCTGTAAACAAAAGACCTTCAGAAAGTCTTCTATAGATAGAGGACCTTTAAAAAGACATCTATAGATAAAGGAGCTTCAAAATGTCTTCTATAGATATCGGACCTTCATAAAGCCTTCTATGTATAGAGGACCTTCAAAAGGTCTTCCATAGATAAAGGAATTTCAAGAGGTCTTCTATAGATAGAGGACCTTCAAAAGGTATTCTTTAGATTGATGATCCTCCAAAAGACCTTTGTAAATGAAAGACCTTCAAAAACCCTTCAATATATAGAGGACATTTTAAGGACTTTCTATAGATAGGATTACTTCAAAATGTCTTATAAATACAAAACCCTCAAAGATCTTCTGTAAATAGATGACATTTAAAGGGATTTCTATAGGAAGGAGATCCTCAAATGCATTCTTTTTATGGGAGGCCTTTGAAAGGTCTACAAAAGTCATCTATGATTAGAGACTCTTTTAATAGTAGAAGGCCTTTATGAGACCTTCTTCAGATAGATGACCTTTGAAAAGTCTTTTTCAGACTGGAGACCTTTAAATAGGTTCTTCTTATAGATAGAAAACCTTCAAAGATTAAGATGACATTTAAAATATCTTCTGTAGAAAGGAGATCCTCAAAAGGCTTTCTATTTGTGGAAGACCTTTGAAAGGTCTAAAAAAGTCATCTATGAATAGAGGCTGTTTAAAAGTAGAAATCATTTATGAGGCCGTTTTTCAGATAGAAGACCTTTGAAAGTCTTTTTCTATTTGGAGGCCTTTAAGAAGATTCTTCTTTAGGTGAAGCATCTTCAAGAGGTCTCCTTTATTGTATTCCTTCAAGAGGTCTTATTTAGAGGTTAATATATCCATAGAATCTCTCTTTAAGGTCTAAAATATATTCTACCTCCAGAGGACCTCATAAAGGTTATATGCTCTTAAAGATCTTTCTTTTATCGAATACCTTTAAAGGCTGGCTGCCTAAAAAGATGACATTTAAAGTCACTTCTATAGAAAGGAGATCCTCAAGAGGAATTCTATTTGTGGAAGACCTTTGAAAGGCCTAAAAATGTAATATATGAATAGAGGATCTTTAAAAGTGGAAGACCTTTGAGACCTTCTTCAGATGTAGACCTTTGAGAAGCCTTTTTCAGATTGGAGATCTTTAAAAGGGGTCTTCTTAAGATATTAAATTTTTAAGGGGACTTCGTTATTGTATTCCTTCAAGATATCTTATTTAGAAGTTAATCAGATGACCTTTACGAGACCTTCTTCAGCTGGAGACCTTTGAGAAGTCTTTTTCTAATTGAAGACCTTAAATATGGTTCTTTAGGTTGAACATCTTCAAGAGGTTTTATCTATCCATTAAACCTCTCTTTAAGGTCTTAAACAAATTCTATCTCCAGAAGACCTTATAAGCATCTTTCTTTCATAGAATACCTTTAAAGGCTTCCTGTCCATATCGCCTCTTAACGAACCAAAACTACATCTAACAATTAAAGCTTAAAAATTATTTATTAATTTCCTCCCAACCTTCCTCCTCCTCCTGCTCCTCTCAAAAGGTACAAGGACTTTAGCAATCGCATGGACTCATATAGGGAACAATTGGAAAAATCACTGGGCATGATTAGCGAATCAGATACCAACGTGTCGATGAGTTCCGGCATTGGTTCAATTTCATCCTCATCATCGTCAAACGATCGTCATTCAGATCCTACTTTAGAAGCCAAGCTGACTACCTCAACGACCGTGGCCAATAAGGAGATCAATGAAGAGAAACGAAAATCGGCTCGGCGAAAAGAATTCATTATGGCCGAACTAATGCAAACGGAGAGAGCTTATGTCAAAGATTTGGAAACATGCATCAAATGTTTCCTGGAAGAATTTCGTTTCGGTCAAGGGGTACCTACCGCGCTGCACGGCAAGGAGGACATTATTTTCGGCAATATACGTGAAATCTATAATTTCCACAATAAGATATTCCTACGCGAGTTGGAAAAATACGAAACAATGCCCGAAGATGTGGGCCATTGTTTTGTGACATGGGCCAGTAAATTTGATATGTATGTGCACTACTGCAAAAATAAGCCAACATCAAATAATCTCCTGGTGCAACATGCCGGCAACTATTTCGATGATCTGCAACACAAACACAAGGTGGAACATCCCCTGCCCGCCTATCTGATTAAACCTGTGCAAAGAATTACCAAATATCAGCTATTACTCAAAGATTTACTATCGTGCTGTGAAGAATCACATGGTGAAATTAAGGAGGGCCTGGAGGTGATGTTGAACGTGCCGAAGAAGGCCAACGATGCCATGCATTTGTCGTTGCTCGAGAACTGTGATGTTTCCATCGACAGTTTAGGTGAGGTTGTCTTGCAAGATGCATTCCAAGCCTGGGATACCAAGCAATTGATACGCAAAGGACGTGATCGCAGAGTATTTCTATTCGAAATGTATTTGCTGTTTGCCAAAGAGGTCAAGGATTCGAATGGATCGGCTAAATATCAGTTTAAGAGTAAATTAATGACCACAGGTGGGTTGTTGGGAGATTTTGAATTTGAATTTTCTGTTTGCTAATAATTATTTTTGAATTGTTTTTAGATCTCGGCATAACCGAACACATTGAGGGTGATGAAACGAAATTTGCCGTCTGGACAGGTCGCTCACCTATGCTGTCCGATTGTCGCATTGTACTTAAAGCCAATAGTTTGGAGACCAAACAGGTAAGGAAATTTTTTTAGAAAACAAAAGATCTTTGTCCATAGAAAAACTTTCGATTGGTTTCCTTTCAAATCTACTTTTTTAGAATTCGCTTTAAGGCTCTACTATGAAAAGAGTGGATTTTTAAGAATTTCAGAATATAAGCCTTTTGATAGTATTTTCCTCCATAGAAGGAGTTTCATATGCCTTTCTTATATAAGTCCGTTTAAAGGCCTCCTAAGACTGGCTGAGGTCTTTTTCAATAGAAGACCAAGAGGTCTAAAGAAGACCAATAGGTCTTCTTCTAAAGAAAACCAAGAGGTCTTCTTCTATAGAAGACCAATAGGTCTTTTTCTACAGAAGACCAAGAGGTCTTCTTCTACAGAAGACCAAGAGGTCTTCTTCTACAGAAGACGAAGAGGTCTTCTTCTACAGAAGACCAAGAGGTCTTCTTCTGTAGAAGACCAAGAGGTATTCTTATATAGAAAACCAAGTGGACTTCTTCTTTGGAAGACCAAGAGGTCTTCTTTGGAAGACCAAGAGGTTTTCTTCTTTGGAAGACCAAGAGGTTTTCTTCTTTGGAAGACCAAGAGGTCTTCTTCTTTGGAAGACCAAGAGGTCTTCTTCTTTGGAAGACCAAGAGGTCTTCTTCTTCGGAAGACCAAGAGGTCTTCTTCTTTGGAAGACCAAGAGGTCTTCTTCTTTGGAAGACCAAGAGGTCTTCTTCTATAGAAGACCAAGAGGTCTTCTTCTTTGGAAGACCAAGAGGTCTTCTTCTTTGGAAGACCAAGAGGTTTTCTTCTATAGATAGGGGACCTTCAAAAGGTCTTTTATAGATAGAAAACCTTCAAGGGTCTTCCGTAGACAGATAACCCTGAAGGGAAAGGAGATCGTCAAAAGGCCTCCTATATTTGGAAGACTTTTAAAATTGCTTAAAAAGGTCACCTATGAAAATAGGATGTTTAAAAGTCTCCCGCAGATAGAAGATTTTCATTAGTCCTTCTTCAGATAGAAGACCTTTGATTGGAGACCTTTAGATTCTATTTCCACAGATGACTTTTTAAGCACTTTTAATGGTCTTCCAAATATTGAAGGACTTTTGAAGATCTCCTTTCTGTAGAAATCCCTTTAAATGTCATCTATCTACGGAAGACACTTGGATTTTCCGATTGGAGACCTTTAAAAAAGTCTTCCTTGGGTAGAACATATTCAAGAGGACTTTTTTTTACACAGAATTCCTTATTGAGGTCTTGTATATTTTGAAGTTAATCCATTTGTGGAATCTGTGGCATGGGCCATGACCGAAAGCGGTAGAACTTTTTAGTAATAGTCCTAGGCTTTTTCAGGAAAATTTTTATACAACTGTAGACATTTACAAGGCCTAAAGGGGTGGATATTTAAAATTTTTTTCCTAGCAATTTTTAAGGCCTAAGGCTAGGAATATTTCTAAACTTTTTTAAATTTTTCCATGGACCAAAGCGATGGATTGTTTTATTTTTTAATTTTCTAGGCATTTTTAAGCAAGGCGTGGAATAAATTCTTTAGCTTTTAAAGGCCCAAAGTGGAGGAATTTTTATATAGATTTGTGGGCTTATCCAAAGCGTATGACGTTAGCATTTTCTAATATTTTTTTCCACCAAAGCGGTGGAATTTTTATAAAAGTACCCAAAGCAAAGAAATTGAAAAAAATCTAATGTTTTTGATTCAAAGACCAGACCTTTTTTTAATAAATTTTGAAGACTTTTCTCAAATGGTTTTTATACCATTTTCTAAGCTGTTACTAGTTTATAGACAGTGGGATTTTATTTAAAAAAAAACTTTCGGATTTTTCAAAGCCCAAAGAAGAGGGTTTTTAAAACCGTTTTTTTAGTCCCAAAGGCGTGGGTATTTTAAACCGTTTTTCTCGTCCCAAAGGCTTGGGTATTTTAAACCGTTGTTCAAGTCCCAAAGGCGTGGGTATTTTAAACCGTTGTTCAAGTCCCAAAGGCGTGGGTATTTTAAACCGTTTTTCTAGCCAAAAAGGCGTGGGAATTTTAAAACCGTTTTTCTAGTCCCAAAGGCGTGGGTATTTTAAACCATTTTTCTAGCCCCAAAGGCGTGGGTAGTATAATTCGGTTTTCTAGTCCCAAAGGCGTGGGCATTTTAAACCGTTTTTCTAGCCAAAAAGGCGTGGGAATTTTAAAACCGTTTTTCTAGTCCCAAAGGCGTGGGTATTTTTAACTCGTTTTTCTAGTTCCAAAGGCGCGGGGATTTTAAACCGTTTTTATAGTCCCGAAGGCGTGGGTATTTGAAACCATTTTCCTAGTCCCAAAGGCGTGGGTATTTTAAAACGTTTTTCTAGTCCCAAAGGCGTGTGCATTTTAACCCCGTTTTTGTAGTCCCAAAGGTGTGGGTATTTAAAACCGTTTTTTTCGTCCCAAAGGCATGGGTATTTTAAAACCTATTTTCTCGTCCCAAAGACGTGTGTATTTCAAAACCTTTTTTCTAGTTCCCAAGGCGTGGGCATTTTAAAACCGTTTTTCTCGTCCCAAGAGCGTGGGTAGTTTAATCCGACCCAAAACCGTGAATTTTTCAAGGTTTCCTCCGTATATATTTTGACGGGCTGTTATTAAATTAAGACCCTTGAACGCTGTTTTTTTTATAGAATACATTTAAGGGATCTCTTTCTCAAGAAACCAGATTAAAAGTCCTTCATCTACAATAGGCTTTTTAAAGATCTTCTAAACTGTCATTGGAATTTTAAAAGTAGCGTTTTCATAAAGTCCTATGTAACTTGATATAAGGTTTCTATCTATCTTTGACCTTTTGTTCTGCTATTAAGAGAAGATCTTTACAGAATAGCTTTAATGGGTCTAGTCTCATAAAAGCCGTGCTAAAATATTTCTATCTATATTACAAGGTCTTCTAACCCTTCGTGAATATAAAACATGCCATTTTGACCTTTTAAAGATCCTCTTTCCATAAGGTTCTATTTCTATTGTTTAATGTAGTTTAACCATGGAAAGTCCTTTAAATGGCCATCAATCTGTGAAATATTTTCTAATTGCTTTTGTTTAATGACTTCAAAAAATACCATAAAGCACCTTTTCTACTTCTTACCGCAATCTATACTCAAGACATTCTGCTCTTGGTGTTCTCTTTTGAATATTTTCTTTTAAATTTTAATATATAACTTATTTAAATGACTTATTCAAGTAATTTAAAGAATTCCATAAAGCACCTTCTATATTTCTTCTTCCCACCGTGTACCAACAAGATCTTCTGTTCGTGAACTACTCTTCCGATTTTTTTTTCAACATTACCTTCTATTTTGTTAATATATTAATTTTTTTTTCAACTTTCAGATTTGGACCAAAAAACTACGCGAAGTCATGCAGGAGTCATGCTTCTCTGGCACTTCCCTAACCCTGCCCAAATCACCAGCCAAGAATTCGGGTTCATCGCAACGATCCTCGCGTGATCTGGATGATCCATTGACTGAAAACGATCACGACAGATGTTCCTTAGCCAGCTTTGGATCTGGCAATACAACAGATAGTGATAACAAAGTGAGTACAGAGTTTTTTGTAATAATTTTATTTTTTTTTTTGTTAATTAAGGAGTTGTCGTTTTTGCACAATAATATTGGAGATTTCTGTGGAAGAAATTGGAGAAAAAAATGTCGACGTGAAAAAAATGAAAATTACCCAATTTTGAATATGACAAATGATGCCATTAATTTCCAATATCGAGACACAGGATTGATGTAGCCAATTGTGATTCTAGTTTAACTATGACAACTTCTAATTGGGATAGGAAACAACTTTATTAGATCAATGGCCTTTTGCGGGAAGAATATCGAACAGGAGCAGAATATCAACTTTTCGTTTAGAAATGTTACTTAAAAATCCTCGCTAGGAAAATATCCTTAGAACTCTAGCTCAAAGAAATATTCTTAAAAACTCCACTTTAAGAGTACATCCTTTAAAGCTCCATGTTTAGAACATATCCTTAAACAATTCTCGTTTAGAAAATCCACTTCCGCTATTTTCTACCTGTGAACAAGTCCAATCAGCATTGCTATCTGAAAATGTCTGTATTAAACAATGCTTTAATTCTTTGGCCTTAACGATGTTTTAATATGTACAGCATATTTGTAGGCACTTGTATCAAGTGTGTGTCCAAAAGCTGCCCTATCCTCTTTTAGTACCCACAACCACTATGATTTACATTCTAATTTTAGAATCAATCATTTCCCAAACTGACTTCCAATTCGGGGTTGGGGGGGGGTGGTGTGGTATTCCATATCAAATATTTTGATTCAAAGAAACCTTAAAAAACATTCAAATCCATAGCATGCCTTGGATTTGCTAATAATCTCAAAAGCGATTCCTGCAATTGCCTACCATGAATAATGGTTTGTTTGTTGTTGTTTTCTTTTCGTGTGTTTCAATATAAAACTCTCCACAGAAGAAGCAATAAATTAACTACTCAACAACAGCACACAAGTTGTCTTAAGGTATAACGAACGACACTACCCCAACATGGCCATGGCGATGATGGGGATGATGATAATGACTTATCCATACAACATGTTAAGGAATTCTTTCAACATGGAATTTTTGGTGTAATACCTCACTGTGAAATGGCTTGAGAAGCTTTTTCGTTGAAGCTTTTTTCTTTGGTATGCCTAAAAGTATGCTCTCTTATATTTTATGGAATTTCTTAATATTTAAGAGAATTGTGTAGATGGATTTTGGCATTCGTGTTTTCTCTTTCCTAAAGAGGATTACAACAAGAGGAAGGACACCATGGCATATACATACATATGCCTTAGTATGCCTAAAAGTATACTCTCTTATATTTTTTGGAAATTCATAATATTTAAGAGAATTATCGAGATGGATTTTGGCATTCGTGTTCTCTACGTGTCCTGTAAATTGTTTTGCTTTAAAATACCCTCTTTCCCTGTCCGGTAACTTGGGGCTGGGCCAAAGAGGATTACAACTTAACAAAAAACAAGTAAAAAAGCCAAAGGTTCGACCGGCCGAACTTTGAATGCCCTCCACCAAATGGAACGAATTTGGCAATTTTCAAAACAAAAATAAAAAATCCGTTAAAATTCTGTTAAAATCTTAAAAATACCGAATGTAGCCGTTATATTAGGGTCTATATGACAACGTGGGCCTGCAAGTTTTGTCATAAGCCATTACAATATTCAAATGCGAAACTTGAAAAAAAATTCTGTGAATAACGTAGGTAAAATCATCAAAATACTGAATATCGGAAGGTGCCGTTATATGGGGGCTATACGAAGACTTGGACCTTCACAGACAATTTTCTGTCATAGGCTGTTGTATTCATTGCGAACTTCAAATACCAAAAAATTTAGAACAATTCCGGTGAAAAATACCGAATATCGGGAGGTGCCGTTATATGAGGGCTATACGAAGACTTGGACCTGCACAGACAATTTTTTGTCATAGGCTGTAGCATCCATTACGAACTTCAAATACCAAATTTAGGACAATTCTGGTAAAAAATACGGAAATAGGGAGGTACAATTAAATGGGGGCTATACCCAAAAGTGGACCTGCACGGGCAATTTTCTGTCATAGGTTGTAGTATCCATTACGAACTTCAAATACCAAATTTGAAACAATTCCGGTGAATAATGTCGCTAAAATCATCAAAATACCGAATATCGGGAGGTGCCGTTCAATGGGGGCTATACGAAGACGTGGAGGCTATACGAAGACGTGGGGGCTATACGAAGACTGCACAGGCAATTTTCTGTCATAGGCTATAGTATCCATTACGAACTTCAAATACCAAATTTAAAATAATTCCGGTGAAAAATACCGAATATCGGGAGGTGCCATTCAATGGGAGCTATACGAAGACGTGGACCTGCACGGACAATTTTCTGTCATAGGCTCTAGTATCCATTACGAACTTCAAATACCAAATTTGAAACAATTCCGGTGAATAATGTCGCTAAAATAATAAAAATACCGAATATCGGGAGGTGCCGTTATATAGGGGCTATACGAAGACGAGGACCAATTTTCTGTCATAGGCTGTAGTATCCATTACGAACTTCAAATATCAAGTTTGAAACAATTCCGGCGAAAAATACCGAATATTGGGAGGTACCATTATATGGAGCCTATACGAGACCTGGACCTGCACAGACAATATTCTGTCATAGGCTGTAGTATCCATTACGAACTTCAAATACAAAATTTGAAACAATTCCGGTGAATAATGTTGCTTAAATCACCAACATACCGAATATCGGGAGGTTCCGTTCAATGGGTGCAATACGAAGACGTGGTCCTGCACAGACAATTTTCTGTCACAGGCTGTAGTATCCATTACGTACTTCAAATGCCAAATTTAAAACAATTCCGGTAAATAATGTCGTTAAAATCGTCAAAATACCGAAAATAGGGAGATACCGTTATATGGGGGCTATACGAAGACGTGGACCTGCACAGACAATTTTCTGTCATAGGCTGTAGTATCCATTACGAACTTCAAATACCAAATTTGAAACAATCCCGGTAAATAATGTCGCTAAAATCATTAAAATGCCGAAAATAGGGAGGTACCACTATATGGGGCTATACGAAGACGTGGACCTGTACTGACAATTTTCTGTCATAGGCTGTAGTATCCATTACGAACTTCAAATGCCAAGTTTGAAACATTTGCAGTGAAAAATGTCCCTAAAATCATCAAAATACCGAATATCGGGAGGTACCATTATATGGGGGCTATACGAAGACGAGGACCTTCACAGACAATTTTCTGTCTTCGGTTGTTGTATCCATTACGAACTTCAAATACCAAATTTGAAGCAATTCCGGTTGAATAATGTCGCTAAAATCATCAAAATACCGAATATCGGGAGGTGCCGTTCGATGGGGGCTATATGAAGACGTGGACCTGCACAGACAATTTTTTGTCTTAGGCTGTAGCATCCATTATGAACTACCAAATTTCGAACAATTCCGGTGAATAATTTCGCTAAAATCATCAAAATACCGAATATCGGGAGGTGCCGTTCAATGGGGGCTATACCAAAACGTGGACCTGCATGTCCCATTTTCAATACCAACAGTCCTGCAGACATAATATACATTTGAGTAAAATTTTATCAACCTACAAGGAAAATTGTAACAACCTACGGAATGACAAACTTTATATACCCTCCATACTATGGTGGAGAACGGAAGAAAGACAGGAAGGAAGGAAATACGTTAGGAAGGGAATGGAGAGAATGGATTTGACATGTGAGTACATGTTCATTAATATTTCATTAGAAATCAAAACGGGTTAAATACACCTTTTTTGTCCCGCATAGAAAGAGTGGTGTTGTGTGTGGGGGCGGGGGTATAAAGTTACAAATTTTAGCCATCAATATTGGCAAAGGCACACACATGAACACGCACACACACACACACATTTACTGTATGCCATTCATATATAGGCAAATTATGCGGATTATATTGCAGTTATTATTTATGAGATTCATAGCGTGTAGCTGCCGTACACCATCAACCTTAACCACAGTTGACTCCTCTCCTCCTCTTTCCACTTCACCATGTGTATGTGTGTCGGGGACGATACTGTATCGCTGAGTGGCAATAAATTGTATTTCATTACCATTCATTCGACGACGAGGACGAGGACTACGACGACTTCGACGGTGATAGACAAAATCGGTGGGATATCGAAATAATTTATTCAGAATTTCAATGGAACGTCAGTTGTGTGTGTGTGGTTGTGGTGGTTCGTATGGGGCTTTACTGCTGTTAGGATATTTTGAAACACTTTAGCGATAAATTACATTAATTCATATACGACGACGACGAAGACGATGCCGATGATGATATCAATTAAAAATGCTTGTTTCTGGTTAATGAAAATGTGTGTGTGACTCTTGAGTGTGTGTGTTCCGAGGCATTTGCAAGGATATCTCTTAATAGTGTAAGGAACAGCCGTAGCCGGATTAATTTTGAATAATTAACTTTAATTAGTTATGCGGTTAATCTTTCATTAGATTGTCTCTGTTGCAAGATTATTATCTTTTAATTGAAGGAAGAGAGAGGGAGAGGAGGGGGTATTTGTTGGGGTGTTAATGTAAAATGTATGGCGGAATTTTCTATGAAATTTATGTTTACTTAGATGAGTACCTCATCTAATCCCTGGGGGGGATTTTATGTTCCAGACAGCCTCAATGATTGGAAAGTGTCAAAATATTACTTGGAGTCATAATTTTAATTACAACGCCGTGTGAATTTTTATAAGCTTCGCCAAGGTAATATTTAATTGTGTAAATTTTTGATTTTAACTGATTAACTTCGTGACCTAAGATCTCCTCTACATATATTTTACAAAAAAACTAAGTTATATATAATTGATTGATTGGCCTTCGATGTCGGATTGAAAAATTTGACTTTAAGATTTTAAAATTATGCTGGAGGGTCATGAAATAAGACATCGCTTATAACCTTTTTTATATGTCAGTGAAATATTTTTGAGAGAGAGAGAGTACAATCCGCTCCAACTTGAACATATTCTTCTCTTTGCTCTTTTTTGAGTGATGGCCAAATTGAAAGTGAGAAGATTCTATTTTACTGCCGCATTGGCATCGATATGTACCAACAAAGAATATACAACGGCTTTTGATTTATGCTCCTGCAGAATATTCTAATTTACACCCGCATTTGCGTCAATCTGTACCGACAAAAAATATCCACCGGCTCCTGTTTCCGCTGTTTTCCTCTTCCCTTTAATACAATTCGAGCTGGAGTACTAATACGTAAGAAATAGAGTTTAACCTATTTTTCTATGCCATTGAAATAGGAACGATTAGGGTTTATTATTTTTCGAGAGAGAGAGAGGAAGAGTAAAATCCACTCCAAATCGAATACATTCTCTTTGCTTATTTTCGAGTCATTGTCAAATTTAAGGGGATTCTACTCTACAGCCGCATTGGTTTGAATCTGTATCAACAAAAAATATCCACCGGTTTTGGCTTCCGCTGATTTTCTCTTGTCTTTATTAAAATTCTTAACCTATTTTTCTATGCCACTGAAATAGGAACGAGTAGGCTTTATTCTTTTTCGAGAGAGAGAGAGAGAGAGAGTAAAATCGAATAGATTTTTATCTTTGCTCATTTTTAAGTGGTGGTCAAATTCGCTCGAGACAGAGAATCTGTCAATCTGTACCAACAAAGAATATCCAATGGTGTTTGGTTCCCCCGTTTCCCTTCTTGATTTTCATGTACAATTTCTCCCGACCTTACTCTTAGTCTTACTGTATTTCGAGCTTTTTATACCCTTTACCATAGCATGGAGGGTATATTAAGTTTGTCATTCCGTTTGTAAGACCTCGAAATATACATTTTAGACCCCACAAGGTATATACATTTTTGATCAGCATAAAGTTCTATGTCGATTTAGCGATGTCCGTCCGTCTGTGGAAATCACTCTGGCTTCCGAACGATATGAATAAGGCTGATAAAATTTTACTCAAATGTATATAATGTCTACAGGACTGTTGGTATTCAAAATTAGCCATGTAGGTCCACGTTTTGCTATAGTCCCCATATAACGACACCTCCCGGAATTTACCGGAATTGTTTCAAATTTGGTATTTGAAGTTCGTAATGGATACTACAGCCTAAGACAGAAAATTGTCTGTGCAGGTCGACGTCTTCGTATAGCCCCCATATAACGGCACCTCCCGATATTCGGTATTTTGATGATTTTAACTATATTATAAACAGATTTTTCTTCAAGTTTCGCATTTAAATATTGTAATAACTTATGACAAAAGTTGCCTATGCAGGTCCAAGTCGTCGCAAAAGCATTCGGTATTTTTAAAATTTTAACAGAATTTTTAATGGATTTTATTTTTTGAAAATTGCCAAATTTTTTACCAAATGGTGGATGGTATTAAAATTTCGGCCCGACCGAATTTACAGATTTTTTACTTGTTTACATTTTTTTTTTCAATTTTATTGATTGAAAGCAAAAATGTCGGAAATAGCATTAAACTTTAGAATAAGTTTAGTTTTGTTCGAATTAGTCAGCTTTGGCACGAATTATGGCCTTCAAACGGCCAATGAAACCGTCACACACTGCCCGAATGTTGCTCTGCGGCCCATTCCCGCACTTTGCTATTTTTTAGTGCCAACCTTGTTTTCCAAAATACTTCAGACACAATAGTCCAACGGATTGGTATCCGGAGATTTTGGTGGCCATTGTGCGTTGGAAATGAAGCGAGGAACCTCATTTTGTAACCATTCTTGGGTGGGGCATGCTGAGTGCAATGGTGCTAAGTCCTTTTGGAATGGCCAAGGTCAGCGGCCATCAGATCTTGTGTTAGCAAAAATATTCGGAAGAGTGAAATTTGAAAAGAGTTGGAAACCTATTTTGCTTTCTTTAAGCGTTTTGTTTTTCAAAATCTTGGACCTTTTCTGGGGGAGGTACCAATAGGAATGGTCCGATCTCTACCATATTTTCTACAGATCTTGTGTTGATGGAAGTATTGAGATGAAATATGAAGAGAACCGGATGCTTATATCGTTTTGGTATTCGATACTTTATCCCTTTGTGAGGGAGGTACCAGTAGGAATGGTCCGATCTCCACCATCTTTATAATGGATCTTGTTTTGATAGAAATATTGAGATGTGCCAAGTCTAAATATAATCGAATGTTAATTTCGTGTTTTATGAACGCCGCTGGTTTTCAAATTGTTGACACTTTGTGGGGGGGGGGGGGGGGGGGGGAGATACCAGAAGGAGTGGTCCAATTTATTCCATCTTCACAGCCGATCTTGTGTTAGTAGATATAATGGGATGTATGTAATATGAAGGGAACCGGATGCTTATTTCGGTTTTTTGATTGTTTTGGTTATCCAACATTTTGAGCTTTTGTGGGGGAGGTATTAGAAGGAATGGTCCGATCTCTACCATCTTTATAACAGATTATTTGTTGATGAAAATATTAAGATATGCCAAGTCTAAATGGAAGCGGATGTTAGTTTCCCGTTTTATGAGCTTCATGGTTACTCAAAATGTTGACCCTATGTGGGGGATGTACCAGAAGGAGTGGACCGATACATCCCATCTTCACAGAAGATCTTGTATTAGTAGAACTAATGAGATGTGTGAAATTTGACGAGAACCGAATGCTTATTTTGCTTTCTTTGAGGGTTTTGTTTTTCAAAATCTTGAACCCTATGTGGGGGAGGTATTTGAAGAAATGGTTCGATCTCTACCCTCACCTATCCCAATTTCACACCAGACCTTGGTTTAGTAAAGATATTGTGATGTGTGTAATTTTAAGGGTACCGGATACTTATTTCCGATTTTATAATCTTTTGGATTATTCAAAACTACGACCCTTTGTGGGGGAGGTACCAGAAGGAATGGTCCGATCTTTATCATCTTTATAACAGATCTTGTGTTGATGAAAATATTGAGATTTGCCAAGTCTAAATGGAATCGGATGTTAATTTCGTGTTTTGTGAGCTTCATGAATATTTAAAATTGTGAACCTTTGTGGGGGAGATACCAGAAGGAGTTGGCGATATATCCCATCTCCCCAGCAGACTTTGGGTTAACAAATATATTTGGATGTGTGTAATTTGAAGACAATCGGATTCTTATATCATATTCTATAAAAGTTGTAATTATTCAAAATTTCGACCGTTTGTGGGGAGGTACTTGATAGAGTCGACCGATATTGTCCGTTTTCGCACCTGTCCTAGCACTGATGGAAATATTAGGATTTGCAAAGATGGAGCAAAATTGGATTATCTATTCTCTTTCTGTGCAGTAAAATAGTATCTTTGAAAATTACAAATTTTTGTGGGGGAGGTACCAGAAGGCCCTGAAACGGTCAAATGTCCTCTATATATACCTTCTTTAGTCATATGACTGAGGGTATAAGAATAATAAAATAAGGGTTACCGTTTTCGCAAAATTATTTGCTAGTCCAGAATTTTACAATAAAGTCATTTGCTTTAAATCTTTATTTTTTAAATACAATCAATTTTTTTAATCGCTAATTTTTTTTACAAGCAAAATTGATTTCAAAACCTTTGTTGGCCATGGTCGAAGTCTTCAATAAGTTTTTATATTTTTTGGAGATTCCCATTTTACAGCTCTGCCTCATCCTTAGACATCCTTAATGTAACAACAATAAATAATGCAGCTTTTTAAAGACAACCAACACACATCCCAAGCAAAAAAATTATAATAATAAACCAAAAATTGGTACAGATTTCAAAAAAAATTATTTACTACCACATACATTTTCAAAAATTATTTTTTTTCCCAAAATAACGAATTTGTTCACTTTTCTAAACAGATTACACTCATACTTTAAATATTTTGACCTAATTCTTTTTATGTTTATCGTCGAATTTCAACAATGTTGTTCAAAATTTGTGATGCGAAAGAAATTCAAGTTTTAGACTTGAGATTCCTATTTTCCATCCCTGCTTCAATTTTAAACACTTCAAAGAATCCCTTTCTAAAAATTTCTTTCCCCTAACCCAAAATTTCTCTTATATGGCACACAATTTTCTCTGAATACTCTCTTTTATAAAAAATGTAAGAAAAGCTCTCCCAAATATTGCTGGGGAGGCGCAACATTTATTGTTTTGCCAATTTTAAAAAGCTCTTCGTTTCGTTTGGGGTATGGTTGCTGCTGCTGTTGGGTGCGTTGTGTTGTGTTTTCTGTTGATGACTGACCAACGGACCAACCAAAAAAAGAAAAAAGAAACACCAAAAACAAACAACTGCGATTACGCGCGCAAAAAACAAAAACAACGAACAACTCGGCTAAGAGAAACAATTTCGTGCAGAGAATTGACAAAACTTCTTAAAGCTGACAGGAGAGCCAGGCAAAGCGAGTGAGCCATAGCCAGCGACCCATTAACTTCCGAGTGCTGTGATAATATTCCCATTTTCCAGTTGCGTCGCACAGTTCATGCAAAAAGGTCGATACACGACGACGTCGACGAAGACAACGAAATCGTTCTTTTTTTCTTCTTCGCGTGGCACTACGTGTTTCCTACATCGCTGCCGCCGCAGCCACCTATAACTTTTATTCTTGGGTCCAAGCTACCGACCGACCGACCGACCTCCTTTCGGCGGCTGGGCCAGTTGTCTATACACTTTCATCTTAAAACTAGAAAATTTCGTGTCCTAACTATATTCTTTCCTAGTTGGTTTCGTTCGGTTTACCTCTTCCTTGGTTGGTGTGTGTGCCTGTGTCGGCTGCATTTAAGTAAGCCTTTGACCACCGGATAAACGGCCGGACACTTGTGTTAAACGCTCGGTCACGGGTCACGGTTAAAGTGGTGTTCCTCCGTTTATTTTTCTACTTCGATGAGCCATAACAGCCGCGCGTACGTCTAAAAAAAATAACACCAAAACGACCTGCACACGCTCGGAAAATTTAAATTTTCTTGTTTTTTTTTTGTTTTTCGTCAACAAAAAATTCTGTGTATGTCTCAAAGTCAGTCGAATGAATGTGGTGTTGTGGATATGCGACACAATGTGCCGCGAGATCTATAGGCGATATATTCTTTGAATCGCCCAAGAAGCAGAATAATGCCAATATTGTTAAGAATTTATTATTGTTGTTATTGTGGTGGTGATGGTAATGTTTAAAAGAACGAAAAATAACACACACACACACGGAATGACAGGCCGCGACTGTCAGATAGTCAGCCAAGCACTTTGTCTTTATCCGCAGTGGATTTAAATTGATTGTATTATTAAAAAGGCAATTTCACTGACAAACAGGCAGTCAGTCAATCTGCCAGTCACTCAGCCGTCCAGCAGTCCCGCAACCAAAGTTATAAAATTAAAAGTGTGTAACAATAAAAAAAAATAATAAAAAAAAGCGCAAGCAATTGGACGCCAACACTCAAGTGTGGAAGACGTTTTGGTGGATAGCTGCAAAAACAACAAAAACAATGTGAAACGTAAAAAAAACTATATCTGGCATCTCAGCTCTCCTTCATATCTAATCTCATATATAGAGGGACGGACGGACAATACCGACCACTTTAAAGACGTACGACAACGGCGACGGCGACGTTGCCGATGACAACGACAACAGAGCGCCATAAAGCAAAATTAGTAGGCAAAACGGTGCAAAAATATTAACAACAACAACAAAACGGCAATAATAATAAAAGACAAAAATATAATTATTAGAGAATATATATATATGAGTGTTTGTGTTTGTATAGAAACATTAAAAAATTCATAGAATTATAAAAAGAAAAACGAATGGAACACAAATTGTCAATTCATAATAACAAGACACAACAAAACATAAAATGTAAGAGGACCGCTCTTTGTTACTCTTCTCTGCCCATCTCTCCTTTTGATGGCGTGCCGTTCTCATCATCTAATGCATTACTCAGCATCTACTTACTCACTCACTCATTCCCTACATACTCACCTTGTTGTCATATGTTAATGACCGCAAATACCATCGTTGACATGTTTGGGACAAAGAGTTTATGACAGGGATGAAAAATGGGAATTATATTATGATTGATTGCATTATGAGGTGGGGGAATTTCTCTTACCTTAAACAAAACTTCTTAGAAAAAGTTTTAGGAAGTTTGACATAATGTTAAAGACTTGTTATCTTTTGACAAGGAAAACTTTTCTGGCCTTTGCTTTGGATTTCGGGTTTGACCGGTAAAATTGAATTGTGAACCAATTTTACCGGTCAAACCCGAATTTATTGATATTGGCGATTAAAATGCGATTAGATAAAATAGATATTTGAAGGTGTGAATGTTGTGTGCTTCTGAAGAAACAGGTGAAACAGTATCCGTCGGTTTTGTCGACAGATGTATACCCCCAACCATGGTAGAAGAATATAGGTAGACGCATCGACACAGCTGCTGGGACAATGAACTGTCAAACCTATTTTGGAATTGAAAATGTTGAATGAAAAATTATTTAAATTTGTAAAAATTGTTGAAAAACACGAATTATAATAACCTTCGAATAACGTCGTATAAGAAAACATAAAAAATCTACCTTTATTTGAAAAAAAAAGACATTTAAATTTTTTTGTCATATCAATGCTCCCAAGCTTTGATGCATCTACCTTTATTCTTTTGCCATGCCCCCAACCTTGAGTTATGATTATACAAACTCTTGGCCCTTTATGGGGTAGGTTCCAAAGCAGTTGGCCAATATTATTGACCAATTCATATCTGACATAAGACTGATAAAAAATATTACAACGTGCCAGATTTGGCTTATATCGACTTCTTCCTATACTTTATATGAGACATGTATACATTTTTGGAAAATGGAAAAATAATATTTTTTGGAAAAAAAAAATGTTGGCATGTGAAAAATTTGAAGGAAATCGAACATTTATATCCAACTTTAAGCGAAATCATAAATTTCGATAAATTAAATATTCATCTCAGGTTTTTGGTTGAAAGAAATTTTTACTATTCGTGCCAAAGGTGACCAATTCAAAAAAATCTAAATTTATTCTAAAATTTGATGCTATTTCCGACAGTTTTTGCTCTTGACCCTTTTTTGGAGGGAGGTACCTGAAAGAGTGGACCGATATTGCCCATCTGCGAACTCTACCTAAGTTTGAAAATAATATTACGATGTACCAAGTTTGGATCAAATCGGATACTCCTTTCGAGAGTTATCGTGTGCACCAGCCAGACAGACAGAAAGACGAACGGACACCGTTATATCGACTTCAAATGATCGACTCCTGAAACCGTTTTGGTTCAAAGAGGCCTAGGGTCTAAAACAGTTATTTCGTTTTTTTTTTTTTTTTTAGAAAGAAGGCGTTCCCTAATAAATTAAAATGAGTCTGCATCTTATTTTACAGGAGACACACTTCTGAAAAATTCCTTAAAAAAATCCTTCAATTAAAGAGCCTTCAGTATAGAGGTCCCTGATGTTTTGAAATAATAATAAAAGAAAAAATAAAAAAATTTGAAATAAATATTTCCTTAAAAATTTCCAAAAAATGTTAAATTTCCGATAAAAAGTCTTCTGAAAAAAGACCTTTGAATAGACCATCTTTTCTTAAAAATAATAAAAAAAGTCCATGTTTCTTGAAAAAGTCCTAAAAGGATCAAAACCCCTTGAAATATTAAAAAAATCATTTTTTTGAAACAAACGCTTTAATGACAGTTACTAAAAAACTGTTTCTCAAAAAAGGTTCAATTACCGTTAAAAAAGTCTTCGGAAAAAATCCTTAAAATAGGTCTTCTTTCTTAAAAAGACTACATTTTAGAATATTGCGAACAATTGGTCAAAGTTTCACTTCAAAAATTACCGAAAAAGGTTCTCATTTCTTAAAAAACCTTAAAAATGTCCACGTTCCTTGAAAAAGTCTTAAAAGGATCTAAGTTTTCAAAATATTTCCAAAAAGGATGAATTTTCTTTTGAAATGTCGAATAAAAAGGTCCAGCTTTCTTTGAATAAACACCTTTTTAAAAAAAACATGCTTCTCTTAAAAATATTCCCTGGAAATATTTGGAACAAATTATTTGAAAGCTTTTTGAGACTTGAAACAAGTTCTAACACATTGCTCTAAAATATGAGCTTTGAAAGGATTTCCAAAAAAAAAATGTGCTAAAAAGGATCTCCACGATTCTCGGAATTCTGAGCTTTCTAAATATTTCCAAATAGAATGAATTTTCTTTTGAAATGTCCAATAAAAATGTCCATTTTTCTTTGACTGAATACCAGTTAGAAAAAGTTTCTCTTAAAAATATTCTCTTGAAATATTTCATTTTTTCAATTTCTATTAAAAAGTTTTTTTTTTTTGAAGTCCTGCTTCAAGGCAATTATTGAAATATTCCCTAAGAAGAGTTATATTTCTATTTTAAAACATCTTCAAAAAAACAAATATTTTCTAAAATAAAAATAATGTCGCTAGAATTATTGCAGTGTGAAACTCCCTTCTTTGGCCTCATTAACTTTAAATCGCTTTGTGTTTTATTTTCCATTTAATTATCTCCCTCTCTCTTGTTACCTACAACTACTACCTAGAAATATGTGGGAGTTCTTTTTTGGGAGTTTTTATATTTTTATTTATTTAAAATTCAATTCAAAAGGTCATTCCTTTTTTTTTTTTAAAAACTTTAAAAATACTTAAAACAAACACAGATTATTTGATTACAATTTCTAAAAAATCCATCTCATTCTCTGCTTTCTTCCTCTCCTCTCAAAACATGCAAATGTTGGCATCTCTGAATAACGTCACAGTAATTGGTGCAACACCAAAAAAAAAACACTCTTTAAACTTCCCTCTCTGTTTTCCAAATATAACTCTCACTTTTTTTCTTACTCTTTCATCATTACTCTCCTCTGTAGCTCTCTCTCTCTCTGTATTTACTTTCAAAGAGATTCCTTGTGTTTAGAGATGTTAAAATGGTGGCACGAAAAAACAAAGTTAACTCAAACGAAATCTATAAATTTACAGTTAATTTAAAAATATTAAATTGTCGGCAGACAAAATAATATGTTTAATAAATATTTCCTCCCCATTAAATTTACCAAAAATAACCACACAAAAAGGAAAAAATCCAATACATCGAATAGGTAGCATCCTTCTTTTATTTCCTTCCTTCCATCCTTCCTTGCTTTAGCCATATCAGCTGGCCAGCCTTGAGCATTGAAGCATTCATCCATGGTTTATATAATCATCATCACAACCACTTTTTTTTTTGGTGTGTTGTCTAGTTGGATGTGGTAGGGACTGCAGGAGGAGGATGGCCATTATCAAAAAAAAAGGAAGAATACCCATATTTGCTGACAGTGTGAGAAAGAAAGGAAAAGTGGAATACAATGAAAATTCCAATAGCCTCCTAACACTGTTAAGGATAATCAATGTCGTCGGGGGTGCCTCTGTGTTTTTTGTTGTTGTTATTATTACCGTATTGTTGTTATTTTTATTGCTGTTGCTGTTCCTTTGTATTGGTGAAAGTTTTAACATGTTTTGGCTTTGACCGCATTGCTTCGGCTGCTGCTGCCGCCATCATCATTTTGTCAAGAACAGATCCTGGTTTTTTGTTGTCGTATTTGTTATTTTCATTCTATTTTTTTTATTTAGAACACCACTTAGTGTTGAAATGTCTTTTTTTATTTTTTTGCTCTGGCACACATCTTCCTATTCTTCGTTTTGTTGTCCTCTATTTGTTGGTGTTTTTTATGGCGTTTTGTTTGGAGGCGCATGTACTTCTTTTGTTCGGTTTCTGTTTTTTATTTTTATTTTTTTTTTGTGTACACCACCATTGCCTCCTAGCAGGACCATAAACATATCTATTTTGCCAAAAAGAAAAGAAAACACAAATGTTATCTATGACAGTGACCCCAAAATAATGGGAAACTTGGGGGATTTTCTAGGGAAAAATTTACATTTCGGACAAAAAGAGGAAATTGTTGTTTTTTTTGGAATATTTTTAAAAATTTAGGTTTTGGGAAAATAGT